AAGGGTAGTCGATTTAGTTCCTAAGGTTTGCTCCACTGCGATGACCGAAGATCGCCATGATTAGCTAGCCGCGATAGACCTTAAGTCGCTCTGACACCATCATGATTAGTATGAATTTTAACAGTTATGCCAGGTTATATTTTTCATAATTCCTGTTTTTTTCTATTCGAAATCGAAACTTTATATACTATACAAGTGTTAGCTGCGTTTAATTTTTATTACCGTACGTAAACTCGCAATCTAACTGAGCGTGAAAACCGTTAAAAAAACTCGGACTGTCTATCTTGTTTTATCTTTGAGGATTTTTGTCTCTGCTCACGTTACAGTAACGTAAATTACTGCGCCTGGCATTTTTGCAAACCTTTGCTCGCTTGTTCCGAAATTTCACTTTCAATTAACGAAAGAAAAGCTAGAAAGAAGTCCCGGAAAAGGTCGGACATAGTACGATTTGGCAGATGGCGTGACAGCTTTAGCTCAGTTCTATGCTCTATACTCTCATAGAGCACGCTCTTTCAACCAATGACAGTACGTGTTATATCCGAGCTTTATTATAAATATATATAAAGTGCTATACAGTTCTTACACCACGTTACCATGAAGACGTGATCGTTCGAGGACAACAAAGGCAAATTGACGTGCATTAGGTGTGTACGTTCGTAGGAATCATAAGAAGTCCTAGAAGCTTCGATGTTTTACACTGAGCTATGTGCATGTTAATTTTGGAACTATTTCGAAACCTTACAAAATTGAATCTTTTAAACTTACTCTGTGCTTAGATTTTTAAGCAGCTGGATCATTTGAGCCAGTTTAGTCTCTCAAACCAGCAATACAATACTTGGCTAACTAGATAGTTTTGGGGTTAGGGTTAGGATTTTCAAGTAGGCACACGCAGTTGTGTGGATATTGTGGTACATGGAGTTTAGTAGAGTGTAGATTTTAGCAGTATTTGCCAGTGTTGACATATTTATAAAATTATGGTTCCAAAGTGCGTGTCACTGTTGAGAACCCAAGAAAATCATGAGAAAGTCGCCGATGAATTAGGCATAAAAATAAGCCCAACTCTGAGTCAATGCCAAACCACAAGAAAGTTGTGAAACTCGCGCCAATGTAAAAAAAAACAACAACAACTGAGGTTCGAAGTATGGGTCGATGCTGACATCCTATGAAAATCATGGGAAAGTCGAGGAGATTGGTCATGGTACCAACCAATACCACTTTCCCATGAAAATCAAGAAAGCTGTGGAAACTAGCCAACATATGCTAGAATAACAATCTTCAATAAAATTCATATCTAATAAGGATGTGTGAAATGGCCAATATCGCTCTTGGCTGAGATACTGGTTTGCCGTGTTTTGGCAGTTATTTTGGCGAATATGGTTAAAATCAAATCTGTGTAAAAACAGTAAAATCAACGAATTATTGAGGTTTGTCAACATTGGGAGGATCCTCTTAGTCTAGAGAAAAACCTCTGCCCACGGCTAAAGGCGTTAAATTAATAAATTGATATATCTGGGCGGCATATCAAACAGCAACACTAAACTTCTCCTTTCTCACAGCTTTTTCCCCTTTAACATCTTTGTTCATTCCATTTTTTTTAAAGTAAAAACTCGTTTTGGAGGCATAAAGGTCTCTAAAGCAACGTTTCAAGATTTTATGGCGATCTTGTGAAAAAATGTAGTTCCAGCTAGTTTTGAGGGTTTTGGCAGCTATTTACACAAAAAGTGGGTAAAATCAGCCCAATTTGTTGTGTTTCTGACGGTTTTTACGCGTTTTTTCCCCACATTTAACTGAGAACACTGCGTTATAGCTGGAATAAGTGTTTTCACATGGATTGTATCCCTATTTTGTTAAAGACATTGCGTTTTTGGCTGATTTTTGCAAAAAAAAAAAAAGTGTTTTTCAGTTCGAATTGAGCGCTTTTGTCAACTTTTGCGTAAAATTTGGCAAAAACTCGTGCGTTCTGCCGGATTTTGGTGTTTTTAGATAGATTTCATTGCAATTTTACGAAATACATGTAGTTTCAGCTAGTTTGCAGCGTTTTGGGCTTGAGACCAGCAAGAGTGATGGTAGACACTCTTGGCAGAGATAATTGTGCTAGCAGATATTAAGATTTCACCTGTAAAGACAATAAATTAATTGAACACAAGAAAAAGGAAACTTGATAAAAAAAATTAGAATAATGGCGGGGAGAAAAGAGGGCTGCACTAAAGATTATGTACTTGTGTTCTTGAAGCTGAAAATTAACAAGGTTCCTGTAAATTAAGTTTACACGATAACCTAACAATTTGTGAAAATCACACAAATCCCAAGCTATATCCAGGGTTTTCTCTTAATAAAATCAACTCTTAAAACAAATTGGGATTTTACCTTGGTCTTTTTTTTTTACTTTTTATGTACATTATTAATGTATAAATAATGCTCCCCTGACTCTCCCCCAAATTTCCGGAACAAATGGAAACTCTTAAGAATGATCAAGCTTTACCTTATTATTAAAAATTTTTACATCTTGAATTATCAAGTTATCACAGAGGATTTCTTGGTACTTTAACCTGTTTAACATCCTGAAAGAAGTGCACATATATACTACACACAATCAGCCCAGTCAAAATGTGCCACAGCCGACAATTTGGCTGCCTGCCACAATATAGCTGCTGCTAACTTCACACTTTTCATACTTCCATTCAAGACAAGGTTCAGCCTCTGCTGCCCATTACTATCACCAGCTTGCCTTCCACTCAAAAACATTTCAACTGAGCTCATACATACATACATATGTGGGAGATTAGGTTACATGAGCGAACCTGCACTATTGAAAGAGATCAATGAATTATAATTCAAAGAAACATTGATAAATAAAATAAATCAATAGAGATGACAAAAATCAAACTAACAGCAGACAGTACTCTTTCAGCCTTCTGGACCTGAGCAGTGCAGTGATCTTCGATTAAGTGTTTAATTTGGACATAAAACCATGATTTTTGTCATTTCTATTGATTTATTTTATTTATCAATGTTTCTTTCTGTATTTTTCTTTTAACATTCCCACTCCAGCTGATGTATATTATTTGAATTACAAGTCTTATTAGCATGCAAAATAACCTACGGACAAGGCACACACTTTGTACCAAAATAGCTTTGCATCAAGTACATTATCTAGTACATCATTACCATCTTCAGGTATTTCTAATTGAAAATCACACAAATCATAAGCTATATACAGCATCCAATCAGCAGCAAAATATTAGAAAGGAATGCAGTAAATTTTAATAAGAATATTACTAAATAGTTAAATAACAAATAGCCCAGTAAAAATATGCCCGTTGCTGGGAATTTGGTTCTCAATAAAATTAGTTAAAATAGCCAATCTTGAGTTTTACTGCTCACTCAAAATGGGCTGGCAGCTTACAATTTGGCCGCCTACAATGAAGTACCTTCCGTTAACTTCACACTTTTCAGACTGCTTTTCAGGAAGAGGTTTGGCCTCTGCTGCCTATAATTACTACAGCCAGCTTGTCTACTACTCAAAAACATTTTGACTGGGCTGTGCAAGTCTTACTAGCATATAAAAAGCACCTTCAGGTAGATTACAGCAAAGCAGACTTTGTACCAAAATGCTTTGCATTAAGTACATCATTACCCTCTTCAAGTATTTCTAGTTTACTTGTGAAAATCCTACAAATCACAAGGTATATTACATTATACATTCCAGTTGACAAAGCAATCAAGGGTAATTTTTTCATAATAGGATGCAATGATCTTCAGTATCAAGATTACTTGGTACCTAAATAGTAAAATGTTCGAGAGAAGAAATAATCGTAAACATTTTTTCTTTCTCATCAGCATCGACTTCCAAAAATAATGGATAATGACCACCTAAAACAAAGAAGAAATAAATCAAATTGTGATTTCACAGGGCTTCAATACGAAACAAGTATGCATATCTTTTATTTCCTACCACTTACAAGTGGCAGGACTGGCTGAAATGGCCTTCACGTGAACACAACAGAATCCTATGCGTGTATAACCATGTAGAACTATTTATTCGGTATCGAAATTACATCCCAAATGTCATGATATTTGACTGAAACTCAGCTTACCCATCTTTCGTTTAGACTTCGAAACTTGCTGCTTTTTACCACCGTTTCAATGTTTTCTTGTTGTTCAAAAGGTGGTAGGGCCATTGCAGACCGTGATTTTTTTTTACTTGAGAACCAGATGACAACACCCAAGCCTTTTCACGCTAAAATATTAAACTACTGAGATTTCCTTCGCCGCCGTAAGCCGCCATTTTATCTTTCCCTGAATACTAGTTCCCAAGCTTCGAGCCCGAAGGTCTCACACATGCGCTGAAATTATGCTATTCGTTATTTCAGGGACAAGAAATAACGATAATCGTTATGTAGGTGTCGAGATCATGTTGCCACTTGCAAGTGTATGATTATCACTACATCATCCTTTCCATCTTCATGACATAGTCCATGACATGACATGCGTAACAACTTGGACATGCGCGGATCTGTGGGAAGACTCTGTTGAAGGGTGCGCCAGCGGAGTTGTAGCGAGCGATCTGGTTGTCGTTCAATGCTGTTATCGATTTACGAAAGGTACAACTATCTCAACTGCTAGAACCCTGATGAAGTCAGAGGTGTAAGGCGGATAAAAGCTCCGTGCAAGTGAGGTCTTGTAACTTAACTTCTCGCGTGTTTCACTTCATATCGAACGCGAGTTTCGATGGTTTTTCAATAGTTTCTGGGTTAACTTGCCAAACTTTTAATTAATCGAACTCCACTGGGTAAAATTTCCGCACAGCCTCATACTACATTATGCATTCAGGTAATGGATAGAGAAAACAATGACAAAAACGATAGTATAGGGCTGTGCGGAAATTTTACCCAATCGAACTTTAATTTTGGCTGATTAGATTCGATTGTCGAAGTTGTAGTATATTCGATTAATATCCTTATTCTTTAACTCCTAGTTGCTGAAATTTGACGGAGAAAATGTCGAAAAGAAAATCTGAAGATAGTTTCCATAAGGCTAAACTTACCAAACGCACCAATTCACAAGAACAGCCGGAACAAGAGCTTTTTGAACAAGTAAGTAGATTCTTTATTCAATGCTCAAAAAATTGGAAACTCATTGATCTGGATAGATAACCTCAAGGAGCAAACATGACCAATTATTATATTATTATTATTATTATTATATTCTGTGGTCTCACCCTGCATAAATCATTTGCAAGTTCAGTGGCTCCTAGCCACTTTTATTCTTCTTGAAATGCGTTTTCACTTTTTCGAAAACAGGAGCCACGAATTTATTTTGTGAGGGTTCATTTGTGAAATATTGAATTTTCAAATCCACTTTCCTTTGTAAAATTATGTAACATAGTACAATTTCATTTGGGGGCATAGAACTGCTATGGTACAATTTTTTTTTTGCCACTGATAACAGTAAAAGTCAATTAGTGCAGAACAAATTCGGTTCATTTTTGTCAACAATTAGCTAGAGAATGGAGATCAAATACCACAGACTTCCCTGGTTTAATCAGTGGCTTTTCTGCTGTTTAATTGTGTGTCATTTATTCAGTTTATATGAATGAAAGCATATGGTAACAGAAACAAATTCAAATGTGCATGCTTGCAAATTTCAATTGCCGACCTAATATGCTACACTCCTACCCTTTTAGCTAATCTCTTCCCAATAGGTTTCTGAATAACACAACAACAAAAACTGTTCAGCCAGGAGTATGACAGTCATAAGTCTAACATTGTTCAAAGGTCTATCAGAGCTTTAGGGCTTCCATGCCCTGGAAAGGTATTATTTCACTGGAGTGGGGCATGTCAAATCTGGGTAGATGAGCTTCTCACTTAAATTTCTTATCTTAGATTGAATGACTGATCAAAACTGTCTGTCTCAAAACTGCTTCTGTTTGTTCAGTTGGTTTTTCTATTAGGAGAGCATGGTTCTTTGCTTCAGGGAGAGGGAGAGAAACTTTCTTTGAAGTTTTCCTTCCTTTCAATACGTGTACTGTAGTTGGTAGTAGCACCCAACTAGTATGCTGGAGGCATGGGTTGAATCCAATCAAAGCTTGAATTTTTTCAGTATTCTTTTCTGCAATTGTTTAAACTGCATCCCACCTTTGCTTCATGTTCTTTTTGTTCTGTCAACAGGATGATGAAGCTTTACTTTCTGTCAGGTATGTGATACATTATTTACCTGAATATTATCCTAAGTTTATTTTTGTCTTGAAAACCCTGGAAACCCCTGAAGTTCATGAGTAAGCAACTTTTCTAAACCTCAAAATAACTTCGTCAAATGACAGTCTGATGCCAACAGAATACAACTGCTATTGATGAAATAGAAGGCAGATATGGATGTTCTGTTAATGATTCAGCTCACAGAGATGACTGCCCTTAAGAATAAAGTGTAGGAGCTTGTTAGTTTCAAAATTTTTTCAGAGGTTGTATTTTAATAGGTCCTGTAAAGTACAAGGTCACTTGAAAATTGCATGATTTTTGTAATCACGATTAAAGAGTTTCCAAGAACAAGATGGAATGTATAAATGCATGTACAATCTAAATGATTGTAGGCTATAAAAAGTGTATACTTTTAATGGAAGAGGGTGGTGTCTTTTTGCTTATATCAAGTTTTGCAATTAAGAAATGAGCTGAAACAAGCTAGATTTGTATTGACAGTATCTCAGTGTACAAGTGTTTTGTCTTTATGTTTATTTTGCTGCGTGGCAAAATGCTGGAGTTTCATGTATTTATTTATTTGAGAAAGAGGAATTCGCTGCCTGTGGTTATTGAGTGGTGCTGACCACAACTGGAATGCTAGAAAAGAGGTTGTCATCACTGAAAGCATAGAAGCCTGCTATTAATGTGTGTACCCTAAGCTCCACATAAAGTGGGTTTCTAAACCATTAATTTTATTAAGAGAAATGGTATCAGATCACCAAAGATCTAATAAGGAACACAATTTTTTTATGAAACAAGGAGAGTTTCACATAGCAGCAGTATCACAAAACATTGCCCTCATTCCCAGAGGGAACAAGGAACATTTATCTTTGCCACTGTTTTGTCCTGATTTTGAGCTTCTTTTGGCTTGAAGTTACATGGTTTAAGAGAAGCCAAGACAGGATTGAATGGTAAACACTTGAATCATGCAGGGAGTAATAAAAAGTGGGACAGTTTGAATTCACAACTAAGATGAGTAGCTAGATTCAAAATGGCAGTGTGCATAAGGAATTTTGAAGTCAAGTTTTATTGGGATGGGAGCAACTTTGGAAGCTGAGAAAATGGCATATAACTTGGCTTAGTCCTAATTTCTTACTCTTGGTTACAAACATTATTATGTAATTTTTTGAGTGACCTTTTCCTTAAAGTTTTAAAAATGTAGTTTACAAAAGACCTTGTAATTTTTGTTCATTTTGAAGCTTAAAATTCTCCCCCCTCCTTCCCCTGACAACTGCCCAGGCATTGGAACTTTTGAAGACTGGTCATGCCTTCTGGTTTCACTTTAGTTTTGAACATTGTTGATGTCATTTCTATGATCAATATGATCAATAAGATCATAGACAGTGGAAAATTGTGGTTGATGCATTAACTTGCATCTGGCCTATTTTTACAATCAGTGGTATTTAATCATGAAGAACAGTAAATTCACTAATTTTCAGATGCATGTATTTGTGATTCAATCCTAATTGGACAGGTATAGCTAATAACATGATGTCAAGTTCAGTTTGGTGTTAATATGCTGCTATTGAAACATAATGAGCACCTTTGTATTGTATATGCATTTTAGTTCATGTTGTTTTCTATACACAAATGTTAGAGCAAGACTATAACTCACAAGACTATAACTCACATTTGAATTTGAAATGAGTGCTCCAAGCTCTAATTTTGTTATCTTTTCTACAAACTGATGTATTGGTTTTAATATTTACATTCCTTATAGTCAATGTCCAAAACAATTTACTTTACAAATGTGCAATAGTTTACTCTGAGCTATTTACTTTTCAGAGGCCTTTTTGGATCTCAAGATAATAATAGCAGTCTCACTGAAGCAACCAGAATTAGCAGGTTATTGATATTGTACTTTTCTTTACTTGAAGGATTTGAGAAAAAAATGGCCAAACAGGGTTTTTGGTAACTTAAGTAGGGATCATTTTACACTTAAGTATAAATCAGTAAATCAGGGAAACATGGCTCAGGAGTTTTGTTGTTGTTGTTTTTTTTGTTTTTTTCCTATGGATTGCTGTCTGGGCAGTGTCTTGGAAAATAAAAAAAGAATAGTGCAGTAAGAAATTCAAAAGGATTCTGCTAGCACTATTGAAAAACTACACAAACAAACAAAAATTTCCGTGAAATATCAGGAAAATTTGATTTGACAATACATGGCTATATGGTAACCAGTCAACTCGCCGACGGACCAACTCGCCGACGCCAACTCGCCGACGTGTAAAATCGAGTAGAGACGTCGGCGAGTTGGTCGTCAATCCAATACAACTTATTAGAAGTTAAACATACTGAAAAGTAAACGATATTTAGTAAAAAAACACTGGTGAACATTGGTAAACATCTAACAGAAGCTTAAACATTGGTGAACATTGGTGAACATCACCAATGACCATAACAGCTTAAGACGCGAACGAGTTATCGTGCGACAACAACACCGTAAAGACTCATCATGTCAATCGCTCAGATTTTTTAACGAAAACTTGGCTTTCTAGACAAGATCTTTAGTAAAAAGCAATTCTTTTTATTTCAACAAAGTTTATAAGGATCTCAAGGCGAAAAAAGGGAAGTAAACATCACTAATGACTCAAACAGCTTCAAACGCGAACGAGTTATTGTGTGACAACAACACTGTAAAGACTCATCATGACAATCGGTCAGATTTTTAAAGAAAACTTGGCTTTCTAGATAAGATCTTTAGTAAAAAGCAATTCTTTTTATTTGCAACAAAGTTTATAAGGATCTCAAGGCGAACAAAGTAAAGTGAACATCGCCAATGACTACATCCGCTTCAGACGCGAACGAGTTATTGTGTGACAAACAACACCGTAAAGACTCATCATGTTAATCGCTCAGATTTTTTAACGAAAACTTGGCTTTCTAGACAAGATCTTTAGTAAAAAGCAATTCTTTTTATTTGTAACAAAGTTTATAAGGATCTCAAGGCGAACAAAGTAAAGTAAACATCGCCAATGACTACATCCGCTTCAGACGCGAACGAGTTATTGTGTGACAACAACACCGTAAAGACTCATCATGTTAATCGCTCAGATTTTTTAACGAAAACTTGACTTTCTAGACAAGATCTTTAGTAAAAAGCAATTCTTTTTATTTGCAACAAAGTTTATAAGGATCTCAAGGCGAATAAAGCGACGTTAACATCGCCAATGAACAAAATTGGCTGTAGACGCCAATGAGTTGTGCGAGTCATTGGTGATGTTTACTTCGCTGTTATAGTCATTGGTGATGTTCACCAATGTCCACCAATGTTTAAGCTTCTGTTAGATGTTCACCAATGTTCACCAGTGTTTTTTTACTAAATGTCGTTTACTTTTCTGTATGTTTAACTTCTAATAAGTTGTATTGGATTGACGACCAACTCGCCGACATCTCTACTCGATTTTATACGTCGGCGAGTTGGTCGTAATTCGGCTATATACTCCAGTTTAAATGTAGCTAGAAAAAGTTGCTCAAAAATTTCTGCGAGTAGAAATGATACCTAATTAAAACTATCATAAACTATTAAAAAATTATTACCATGAATTAGAGTATGTCCAAAACTAGGTGATTATTTATGAGAGTGCATGATTCTTTGTATTCAAATTCAAGGATAGTTGGAACTTTCATTGACTATCATAAACTCGTGACTGTTTGAATGGGGTTTTACACTGTACCTCTACCTAAAATCTCTGTATGCAGCTTATCACATGTCCAATTATGGTTAAATAGCATGAGCTGCAGCAAATTCTGTAAGTCGTATCTTGCCTCTGTGTCTCCCAAATACATTGGCTTAGTTATAGGAACCAATTTCAATTAACATTCATGGTAAGAACAGGAATATGTGAAAGTTTTAATAGTCTGACCCTTTTCCTCCATACACAGCATGCATTGAAATTTCAAAATAACAAAAAATAATTTTTGGTCTGCAAATACATGCTATGACAACTGGAAGAATTGAACAGTACCCAACAAGTCATTAACAATATCTTCTTTACAGGGGAAGTTCTGCTTCTCAAAGAGAGGAAGCAATGGAAGTTGTATCTGAGAGTGATATAAAACAGTCTACATCCAAAATGTCCATTGGAGTAACTAGGAGTGACAGGTAATCAAACAATGTTGTCATTGTTAAGCTAAGATTGGCTCATTTTAATTTGAGAACTTTCCCTTTCCTTTTAAGTATTAATTCAGATAATTAAGCTGCTTACGTGGACAGAGAAGCTACAAAAACAAAACAAACACAAACAAACAAAAATTTCTTGGAAATATCAGGAAAATTTGATTTGACAATACATGGCTATATACTCCAGTTTAAATGTAGCTAGAAAAAGTTGCTCAAGAATGCTGTGAGTAGAAATGATACCTAATTCAAACTATCATAAACCATTAGAAATGATTATGTTGAATTAGAGTATGTCCAAAACTAGGTGATTGTTTATGAGAGTGCATGATTCTTTGTATTCAAATTCAAGGATAGTTGGAGCTTTCATTGACTATCATAAACCCGTGACTGTTTGAATGGGGTTTTACACTGTACCTCTACCTAAAATCTCTGTATGCAGCTTATCACATGTCCAATTATGGTTAAATAGCATGAGCTGCAGCAAATTCTGTAAGTCGTATCTTGCCTCTGTGTCTCCCAAATACATTGGCTTAGTTATAGGAACCAATTTCAATTAACATTCATGGTAAGAACAGGAATATGTGAAAGTTTTAATAGTCTGACCCTTTTCCTCCATATACAGCATGCATTGAAATTTCAAAATAACAAAAAATAATTTTTGGTCTGCAAATACATGCAATGACAACTGGAAGAATTGAACAGTACCCAACAAGTCGTGAACAATATCTTCTTTACAGGGGAAGTTCTGCTTTTCAAGGAGAGGAAGCAATGGAAGTTGTATCTGAGAGTGACGTAAAACAGTCTACATCCGAAAGGTCCATTGGAGTAACTAGGAGTGACAGGTAATCGAACGATGTTGTCATTGTTAGCTAACATTGGCTCATTTTAATTTGAGACCTTTCCCTTTCCTTTTAAGTATTAATTCATATAATTCAGCTGCTTGTGTAGGCAGAAAAGCTACAATTGCAGATTTATCTCACACATACGCTGTATATTAAGAGTTTCACAAACTTGTCTTAGTTGGGATCAAAATTTTTCAAAGTTTCAATATTGTTTTAGAAAGTGAAACGTGTGAAACTCAGCCTTAAAAAACTAATCTCTCCCCAGTGATTAAAAGCAGCAACCCAATATTTAAGTAGTTTTATGGACCCATGTTGAATGTTGGGTGATCACAGGACAAATTACATTCACAAACTTTTCCAGTGTTCAACACACATCCTAAGTGGGCAATTAGGTGGTAAATCAATGGAAAGTGCAGTCTTTTACTCTTCTTAAAACGCCGCGAGTTTAGGGGTACCATTGTTTTTTCTATTTGACAAATTTTTTACCTTAGTACCTTTAATAGTGTATGTGCACTTTTATTGTGTGCATGCACCATTAATATTGGTTTTATTTCCTGTAAGTTTTCCCACAGTGAAAGGACCATTAATTTTTTAGAATTAGTATAATTCTGGAAAATATGTAATGACCTTTTTCTTCAGTTAATTAATTCTCCAGTTGTTTGTAGAATTGTCGATCTTGATGCATCCAGATTAGCATTCAATTTTTGGTCCTGTTTGGCTCAGGATTGATGCAGAAGGCATTCTTGTTAACTGTCAGCGTAGGTGTGAGACATTTCTAACTGAAACATTTTCTTGTTCTTTGTACTCAGGGAGTGTTGTGAACATCATCTAATTTGTAAAACAACACTTGCTATTCCTTCGAAAAAAAACAAGGAGACAGCAAAAGGAGCCGCAGGTACTGAAGAATTCAGTACCAAGGAGGATATTCTCAAAACGTGCAATGCTCTCTTAAATTCTGGCGGGGGATTGTTGGAAATGAAATTTTCCGAGCTCCAGAACGACGGCAGAATTAAGAAAGATTCTGTGGATAGTTACTGGCGAAAAATTGAGCCCTCTTTAATTGAAATGATTTATCCAGCAAGTTACGACGATGTCTTCGATCGTCGTGAACTGCCCAACCAAATTCAGCTCTTTGTAAATGCCCCCAAACACTTCTGTACAAAGAAGTACAATTTATATGTACCAAGTGATGGATCCGTACTGCCAGCCTCTTGCGATAAAGTTGCCGAAATTCTGAGGCAGAAACCACATGGTTTTAAGAGAAGAATTGATTCAAATGTACGAGTTGCGTTGGAAGCCCTTCAGGAGATACCAGAGAAGTTTCGTTTGAATGAGAAATTCGACTTGACAGAGTCCAAACAACTTCAATATAAAAACTTTACATCTGGTTATGATTTCTTTGCAAATCATGCTCATAAAGAAAAAATCCGTAAACAGTTGTCAGCCTTTGGTAACTGTAATGGCGGAGTCATTCTGTTAGGAGTAAAAGATGACCAACAGGTTTGTGGCGTAGACTTAGGTAAAGATAAGAGGGAAGATGTTGAGAAAAAGGTACGCTCCCAGGTCAACAAAGTTTGTTGTAACTTTGAGCCAAAAAGAGGTGTCCATTGGGATGTGGCTTTCTCTACCGTCATAGGATCTGAATCCAATCCTGTCATAGTCATTAAAATGGCAGGAATTCAAGGTTCTGGAGGAATCTTTGGAAAACTTCCTGAAAGCTACGAATTAGGAAGTGATGAGGGTGGTCGGCACGTCGCTCGTCTTCTTAAATTTCATGAGTGGAAAAATAGAATGGAATCGGATAGGGCGTGGTGGCAAGAGAACAGCAAAGGTGTGTACTTTCACCAATATATCTTTTCTAAGGGTAACTTATACTCTAGTTTGAAATGTTCTCAATTGATACTTATACTGTATTTTGGATTATAAGCCCAACAATTTGGTCAGTCATAGATAAGAGCCCGTAATTTGCCACTGCATGCATTGCGCCTAAACACCATCATTAGGGGGCAATTTCTGTGATGTGATGAACTAAAATTATTCAAGTTATCATATTTGTGGTAATCTCAGGCAGAATACGTCTTTAGCTTATATGTTTTGTTTAACCATTACAGTTCATGTGATAATACTCTAGAGAACTGTTTCTTTTAAATTTCCTCTCAATCACGTGCATATGTACTCATATGAATTCAAACCAGTTTTAATTCGTGGAATAAGTCGCACGGACAAATTATCCAGGTCCCTGTCAGTCCAATAACTGATCAGGGCCCAGTTGTTCAAAGGCCGTTTAGCTCTAACCCAGAGTTAAATTTTAATTCAGGTTTCTTTATTTCTTTGTTCAAAATTCTTTTAGGGAAAATTTTCACTATTCTTTTTAAAACATCCCGTGATCAAATTGCAAGCAAAAAGATTTGAACTGAATTTTCTCTTAAAGCTTTCAGAACTGAAATCAAATTTCACACTAACCCTGGGTTACCTTTACCCAGCTTTGAACAACCCGGGCCTGTATTTTAAGTCCCATAACCCTTTTCGAACCTTAATGTATGTCCTATTTTATTCGGCATTGCCTAGAGGATCGTAGAGAATCAATCTTCAATTTGTTTGTATTAAGGCCTTGTTTGAATAACACCTGTTTTTCATGTCTGGATCAGTAGTATACCGAACCCTAAGCAGTAAAAAAAGCTTGAAAATTGTAAGTGACTACCCGATTTTTTAGATCGACGAAATGCTGTTTGATTGACTTGAACGTTTACTTAAATGTTTTGCTATGAGCTTGTAAAGTCGGTTTCACTGTTTAGGATCGCTTCTTTTTTGCCATTTTGCTTCTCTGAATTTCAGTGAAAGCGCCTTAAATTTTGCCATTTCGATGTTTAACAAGTCCCAGCGTGTAAACCTTTGAAGGGCCCCATCATGTAAGTCTTACAGCCGCCTAGTCCTTAAAACAAGTCTTTTAAATCTAGTCTCTTCGTGGGTGCCGATATTAGTTTTCAATGAATGAAGCTGGGAATTCCCCTCAGACCTGAAATGGGTAAACAAAACATACAAGTTAAAGAGGTCTGTAAGATGGAATTCATATTCATAAAATGCCTTGTTGATCATGACTCACTTCGTCATAGTCACTCAACTTTGGCTAGGTTAAAGTGTCTTTAGAAGTATGCTATTTTCAAAGTAACAACCTCTTCCCGACCGAGCGTGAAGGTCGCACTTGGGCGCGTTTGTCTGAGGTCTTCTCAATACGGAGCGAGCGCAACTTAAACATAGACAAATAGAAATGAAAATAGAAATAACGACCAAGGGTCAGTGTTCTCCAGTACGACAAGACCAAGTTCGATTCGTAAATAATCAGGTCACAATTTTTTAAAGGAAAACCCAATAACGGTCACTTAAACTCATAGGCCTCCTGCGAGGCCTCCCTCTGTTGAACCATTTCTATCGAACAATACTTTTTAGTAGGGCATCAAGTTCAGTCCAGTTACCTTCATATCCAGCCACAGGTATATATTCTTTGAAAATTTGTGGTCAAGTCATAAAAAAGGTTAATCGGATTGATTGATAAAGATCCCTCTTCAAAGCCGCTGTGGCGGAGCCCCTTGCACTTGCTCCCAGTGCAGGATAATTGGATTGTTCGATCTCTGTCCATGAGTTAATTTAAATGTTAAATTTTCTTACTACCCTTGATATTTACAGGAAGTGAAGAATTTCTCGCAAAGTTCCAAAAGATACGTATCTCCGCAGGACCTGCATTATCGATCAAAGATAGTGTCCAGAGTATAAGGGATTCTTTTTTCATGGGTAAGCTGCGTAAACTGAATCTTGACAAATTGGAGCTCTATTAGTATCCTTGTAGCGACTTGTTCCTGTTTGGCAAATCTGAGAAAACGAATTGAATCCTCTTAATTTATTCAGTCTCCTCTTATTCAATTTCAAATCACTCCGGTTGTTCCACTTTGTTTAAAATAACGTGTGCAAAAAAAGTGTACTTACTAAAAAAAAACGGATTATGTTGTGCAGAATAATCAACCTTCAAACCACGATATGCTTCATTTGCATGTCACTATTTGGAAGGATGAGGCATTTTTTCGACAGCTTGCAGACGGCTGTGATGCCTGTCCACCTCGTGAAACAGATAACGGCGTGATGATTTTGAATATGATCAATTTTGAATGTGATAATTATTTCTGTTTTGCAAACTATGTTTGATTATGAGCTTGAACTGTGTTGTAACAGTACACAAACTTCTCCATTGGTCAGTAGTGGAACATATTTGCTCTGCCTTCTGATTACGTTATCTTTGCCGTGGTCATGTTGTCTGTTTGTTTGTTTTTTTTTTGCGGGACAATCCTAGCTGCTCTTGCTGCATTAATGGCTTCAAGCATCGCTTATTATCTTGAGAAGAGATTTTAAGATTCGTTTTTCATTATATCACTGTGCAACGAAAAGCACCGAAATCTGAGGTAAAGGTCCCGCATAAGATATCCATGGCGTAGCAAAGGCGTGTAATTAAGAAGAGTTCGGTCGAGTCGTCAGGATATTAAACTCCTCTTAAGTTTATTGCTGGTGCGTTGGTTACAGTCTCTGACGATTTTGGAATTATGTCGGTGGAATGTTCGTTGTACGGACGGGCAGCCGCCGTTAGGCGAGAAAAAGTGCTGTCCCTAAAGAGAAGTCGAGCTAGCCACCTTGGATACTTAAATAAGTTGTACAAATACGTCGAGTTATTAATGCGGAACGCTGAAAGTTATCACGAGGCTTGTGCGAAGCAGAAAGATATCGAAATCGCGTTTGCGAGATGTTTTCAAGCCTCCGATAAATATTATCAATTTGTTGACATCCCCAAAGTTTAATCAGATGTGCTTAATGCTTGTCATAACATAATGACAGGTAAAAAGGGATTCGACGAAGAATGGACGCGATCCGTTCAACGTACTTCAGATGAGACTTTGGTGGCCCCTCGCTGAGAAGGTACTGATAATGTCGAATCACAGATTGCCACACGTTCACAAGCCGGCTCAAGTAGCAGAAAATCGAAGAGCTCCAAGTCCAGTTCACGCGCAGGTGATAGATCAAGAAAGGCTTAAGCCGAACTTCTTTGTTGAGAATTTGAGTTAAAGAATCTGTTAAAGCGCCAGGAGATGGAACTTCATATGGAATTTCAAATAGCCGAGATGAAAACCCATGAAGATGAATTGAAGCGCCGGATTGCTTTATTAGCTGCAGAAGGGGAAATAGAGAAAGTTAGAGCTGTAGATGAGCTCTATGAAACCTCGGAGTATTAAAAACGTGCTATCGAGGCAGATTTGAAACCGGTTTACACAGAGGAAGCTCCCGACTCCTTACCTCCTGTGAAAGAGCTTCAGGCTGAATCGAGCTTTAAGGATGGCGACCTCAGGCAGGTTGGGAGAAACTATTCTAATCAGTGCGTCCAACCTTGGGACGAAGGACCTCCAAAGAACTTCTCTATTGGTGATGGAGACCTGACCTGTTCTCAACAATCGCAACAAAATTTAACATAGCAACAAGAAACCCTGCAGCTTATGGCTTACATGATTCGACAAGGATTTGAAATGTCCAAAAGAGAGCTTTTGACCCTTGATGGGAATCCGCTTAACTACAGGTTGTATATAAACAGCTTCGAGGTCAACATCGCTAAGAGGATACCTAGCTTACCTTATTCAACATTGGATAGGGAAAGCTAGGGAAGCCATTAAGAACTATACCAGAATTTCCATACCAGAACAAGGTACAGGAAAGCTAAAGAGATGTTGTACCACAGATTTGGACAAAAACACATCATTGCGCATGCGCACATCGCAAGGATAGTGGAAGGTCCTCTAATTAAGAATACTGACGTCAGTGGTCTATCAGATCTATCCGTTTAAATGCAGAATTGTGCGCTGACCCTCGGTCAAATGGGCTACGAGGCAGATGTTAACAGACTTTATAGCTCAGACAATCTCGTAAAGGTGGTGAGGTGCCTCCCTTCCCATCTTCAGTCTAAATTGGCGGACAGAGCCGGGTCATTAACCCTAGCTGGAACTGAACCTGCTTTCATGCATTTAGCCGGGTTTGTTGAAGAGAAAGCTTTGGTGGCAAGCACTATGTACGGTCGAATAGTTGGATCGACACCAGACAAAGAACGGAGCTCAGAGCCACTGCTCATGGTAAAGCCACCTTTCCCGAGAGGAGATACCTTCGCAACGCAGTAGGGAAAGGTCCTTGACGATCCTCAAATCGACACATTGTCCCTTGTTTTCAGGTCAACACAGACTGTGTAAATGTGAGCTCAGGAAAGAAAAGAGCCCAGAAGAAAGAAAAAGATTTGTTCCACAAGCGAGGCTACGCGACAACTGTCTAGGAAGCGGTCACATGGCTATGGATTGCAGAAGCAAAATGAAATGTCAGGGGAATGGCTGTGGATGGAAACACCACTCAATGTGTCATGTTATAAGGTAAAGCAACAATGAAAGCACCTCCTCAAACCGCTCTGCATTCACCTCAGAAGAGGCTGGAACGAGTGCCGTCATCGGGGCCGGGGACATTGGTCGGTGTGGCGCTACGGACTACGGCAAGAAAATTGTCTGTTTAAGAATTGTCCAGTCGTCGTGAAAGGAAAAGGTGGGCACTTTACAACTGTGACAAACTGGATCCTGGTTCGGACGTTGCGTTATGTGATGTGAATGTAATGGAGAAACTCCTAGTAGATGGTCGTCCAAGGAATTCTCACTAGCAACCGTAAATGACGTATTCCACTCTCGAAAGGGATTCGAGTTATCTTTGTCAGTTAGAGGATTACAAATGGAAGAAGAAATCGTGTTAGATAAAGACTGGACAGAGGAAACGTCGTGTTTACCTCAAGGTAGTCCACCAACTGGAGAAGATACTGCAAAGCGGCCCCATCTGAAAGGAATAGACTTCCCGAGAATGCAATCTGACAAAGTGTCGGTGCTCATTTGCAGCGACGTTCCTGAAGCTCATTGAGTGTGCGATCAGAGGCGTGGCAGGCGTGGTCAACCTTACGCTATATGCACTCCACTTGTATGGACTCTGATGGGACCATTTAACTTGTGTATTAGAGATTGCTTCAATGTGAACTTTGTTCGCTTTGACGATGAAACGCTTCATCAGCAGATAGAAAGTATATTTAGAAGTGACTTTAACGAGCCTATGATCTCCTCAAAGGTTGCAATGTCAGTTGAAGATCAAAGAGTACTCTTGCAAATGGAAAATTCCGTGAAGCTCGTGAAAGGCTACTATCAGTTGGGCTTGCCATGGCGGCACAAGTCAGTAAACCTCCCGAACAATCGTGAATTTGCAATGAGAAAATTGTGCTTCTTGAAGGAAAGATTCCAGCGCGACCTTCACCTCTTCGAGAAGTACAGAGATACTGTCAACGGTAGTCTCCTGCGGTTACGCAAGAAGAATTCCTTGCAACGAACTGGAAGCTGTGAAGAATACACCAGTTTGGTACTTACCCCACTATCCAGTTTTTCATCCTCAGAAACCAGAGAAAGTTGGAGTCGTGTTCGACTGCGCCGCCAAGTTTAAAGGCACCTCCCTGAATGATCGGCTTCTTCAAGGTCTAGACCTAACAAATAGACTTTTGGGCGTCATCATACGTTTCCGCCAAGAGCCCGTAGCAATGGTTGCAGATGTGGAAGGCATGTTCCACCAAGTGCGGGTGGCTCCCGATAATTCTCACGCGTTAAGATTCCCGTGGAGGCCAAACAGTGATCACGCCGAAGAGCCAGTTAATTACCAGATGTGAGTGCACTTATTTGGAGCTACGTCTTCTCCAAGTTGCGCAAGTTTTTGTCTTAAGAAGACGGCCTCGAATAATCTGGACGAATTTGGTGAGGAAACCATTAACACTGTCAACCGGAACTTCTATGTAGACGATTGTCTTAAGTCAGTCCCTACGACTGACAAAGGGGCACGCTTGTCTGGCAAGTTGCGAGAATTGCTGTCGAGGAGAGTTTCGACTTACTAAATGGATCAGTAACGACAGGAACGTCATCGCCACTGTTCCAGTAATGGAGAGAACGCCCTCATTGGTCAACTTAGATTTGGAAGATCTTCCTGTAGAGCGCACATTGGGAATGCAATGGACCATGGAGACAGACGACTTTAACTTTCGCATTACGGATGAGGGAAAAGCCCCCGCACGTACATGAATCTTATCTGTTGTAAGCTCCATGTACGACCCCCCAAGGATTCGTCGTGCCCATCATTCTGCCAGCCAAGAGCCTGCTGGAGAGGTTATGCAGGCAAAAGTATGGCTGGGACGAAGAGAATTCTCCTGAAGATTTCATCGTATTGCAAGGATGGCTGAAGGAACTTGCATGTTTGAGAACGATATTTGTTCCCAGATGTTTCAAGCCACCAGGATTCGGTGCAGTCGTCAACGTCCAGTTACATCATTTCTCGGACGCATCCGAAGATGATTATGGAGCAGTATCGTACCTCCGGATTGTCGACGACAAAGGTGTCCCGCATAGTTCATTTGTTCTAGGCAAATCTCGCGTGGCTCCTCTGAGAGTAGTGTCTAACGCGTCTTGAGTTAGCAGCTGCAGTGGTCGCTGTGAAATTGAATTGCCTGATTCGTAAAGAGTTAGAGTATCCGATACACGACACAATCTACTGGACAGATTCTACTGTAGTCTTGCCGTACATACGTAACGAATCAAGAAGAATCCACACATTTGTTGCCAACTGAGTCGCCATGATACACACATTACAATGGCGACATGTTGACACCTGTGCGAACCCTGCCGACATAGCGTCCGGAGTGGCGGAAGGTTCTGAACTACGCAAGTTGGAGCTGTGGTTTCACGGCACAAAGTTTCTGTGGAAGGAAGAAGAGAATTGGCCCAAAAAACCATTTTAGCTGCCGGAATTACCTTAAGACGACTGTGACTGTAGGAAAAGCCCTGGTTATGCGAACGTGATCGTCCGTGGTAAACTGTTGGAACCACTGTTGTCCCGCTATTCCTCCTGGGATAGTCTTCGAAAGGCCGTAGCTTGGTTGGTACTTTTCAAGAGGTATTTGGTTGGCCTCCTTAAGAAGGATCTAGACAGGATTCCCAAGGGGCCCTACACTGTCACCGAAGTTATTTCTGCAGAGAGTCTCCTTATCAAAGCTGTCCAGCGTGACGTATTTCCCGTGGAGTTAGCTGTGGTAGGCCAAAGAGCGTCGGGGAACCAGAGGAAGTGCGTCCCTCGGTCTAGTTCAATACGCAACTTGAATTCTTTTGTCTTTGAAGGAATATTGAGGGTAGGTCGCCTCGAGAATGTTCCAGTTTCGTTCGAAATGAACCGCTCCATTATTCTTCCGAGTAAACATCACGTGAGAAACTTGGTCATCTAGAATTCTTATCGCCAACATAGACATTGTGGTCTTTCTCAAGTTCTGGCCTTCATCAGACGGAGATTCTGGATTGTGCGAGGTCTCTCGGCAGCACGTAAGGTTTTGTCGAATCACATGAATTGCCGCAAGCAAAATGCTCGTCCTGGTGAACAGATTATGGCCCCACTCCCGTCAGCAAGAGTCGCTCCGACAGATTTACCATATATCCATGTGGGCGTGGACTACTTTGGCCCCCTCTTTGTTAAGCAAGGACGCAGTCGGGTAAAACGTTACGGATGTTTGTTTTAAAAGCCTAACCATGAGTGTAGACCACATTGAAGTCGCGCACACTTTGGAAGCAGACTCGCTTATTTGTGCGTATCAGCGTTTTGTCAGCCGCAGAGGGAAGCCCAAAGAGAAACAGCGACAATGGCACCAACTTCACGGGTGCCGAAAGGGAATTGAGAGAGGCACTGGAGCGACTGGACCAAACCAAAATCTATAATCGTTTAAGGTCGACCAACATTCAATGGTCATTCAACCCTCCTGAGGCCTGCCACCAGGGTGGAATATGGGAACGTATGATCCGCTCCGTTCGGAAGATTTTGGGTGTCCTGTTAAAGGAACAGCTGGTTAACGACAAATTATTGTCAACCCTGATGTGTGAAGTGGAAAGGATACTTAACGACAGATCTTTCACTTCCCTTAGCGACCAGCCAGATGATCCAGAGCCGCTGACTCCGAGCAAACTCCTGCTCCTGAGATCCAATTCCTGCTTTCCGCCGGATGTCTTCCAAGGTCACGACAAGTATAGCAAGGGTTGGCGCTAAGCACAATGCCCAGCAGATTAATTTTGGAAAAGATGGATGAAGGATTATTTACCTGCACTTCAAACGAGGCAGAAATGGAGCGTCCCTCGTCGAAACTTCGCCGTCGGTGACTTGGTTCTCGTTAGAAAGCTATGCCTCCTTGAAGGAGGTCAGAACTCGTGAACTTTATATAAACTGGTATAGGCTCTATGGCCAAGACCATATTACACTATAATTACGAACTGCGTAATCTACAATAAGTTAATTTTCGTTACGTTACTGTAGGAGCTTCGTAGTCTTGGAATTGGTTATTTGTTGTTAGAATTAGTTACTACTAGCTAATTCGGGGCCGGTGTAGAAACCAGTCCCCCTCCTAGCCCCAGTCCGTACGGCTATCCATTACACTTGGCGTGTAAATAGAAGAGTTCGGTCGAGTTGTCAGGAAATTAATCTCTTAAATTTATCGCTGCTACGTTGGTTACAAATTGTTTTCAGACAGCAAAATCGTGTACATAATTTGACTCTAATTTTCCATCATTAGATTTTCCTGTCTTTTCTCTACTTTAATTGTTTTATCACCGCTTTTTCATATTTTAATCGCAGTTGATGAGAAATTCTCCATCTCACCGAAAGGTGCAGTGGACAACCTTCCAAGAGTAGCACAAGCAGTGATTCACCAAATCCAAACGGTTTGTCGAGGGGACCAGAACCGTGGATTACTGGTTGTGTCACGTTCTTGGCTTCGCGATACTGGAGGTAAATCAATCGTTGGGGTTATATGCGACGTTCTTGTGGTCAGCAGAAACATGGGTGGACTACATCTTTACACCCTCTGTGGTACAGTAGACGAGACCTCTCAGAATTACAGCAAGGAAGCTGCCCAGGCAATAAAGAGAAGTCTCGACAATCATGGTGCCAGAGGCCAGAGGTTTTACGTGTCGTTCCACGTAGTCTCCTGTTGTGGACGGGGAGAAGTCACAGTGCCCTTACGTGACGACCATTTCCCAGAGTCGTATGACCTGATATCTCCCCGAGAGAAGTTAAATGAAATACTGAAAGCAATGGTGATAGGTCTTACAGCGGTGCCCTCAACTCTGTCTAGTAAAGTGGGCGTAACCATTTTGAACCTCCTGACCAAAGAGCAGTTTCAGGTGGTCTATGAGATGATTGACGTAACCAGGGAATTATGGGTGAAGGGCGTCGCTGGAACAGGAAAGACCCTCGTGGCAGTAGAAATGATGAAAAGAATCAGGCTGCGTGAAAATGTAGAAGGACATGAAATACTTTATGTCTGTGAAACTGAGGGAGTAGCCAACCAAGTACGGTAAGAATTGCTTATGAAATACGATTAAAGTTGAGGACCAGCATACTTCTTTAAACCCTCTAACAACATGTCCATTTGCTTCTCTCCTCTGTTAATTTTCTTCTCGTTTTTTCAGGTAAAGTCTCTATTGAGACTTCACCTGCTTTTTCATGACCATGTGAGTAATTCCGTGACATTGGGTCATTGTATGAGGCTAAATGTAATTTAGACAAAGTTAAAACCGAGTCAATAAGGGGCCCCAAGAAAGGGTTGGAGGGGTGTCATGTGCTTCTGGTCAGTTCACTTTGTTCTTCTTTTCCCCTTCCCCCCCCCCCCCCCCCCCCTTTGTCGTTCATTTCTCGCGTAGTTTTACGATGGAAACAAGGACAGTTTGTTAGTGCCTATCTAATAAGGTACTTCCGGAACCCAGCAAAATAATTTCATTGACGTCAAATTTCAGTTCGGAAGATAATGCATTATTATTTTGCTGTATTCGGTAGGAGAAGCTGTTCTTGTAAAGCAGTTTGTCGAGAAACCTTCTTGAGGCGGGAGTTTCCAGACGCCAAACATGTGATTATGGATGAAGTACATAACTTCAAGCAACCTTCGGGTACTGAATCCTGGTATGAGAAGGCAAGGCGCATTGTGCGACGGCATTCCCCCGGCAGACCAGGATACCTCTGGTTTTTCATTGATCTCTACCAAAAGAGTCACCAGTTTCCATCAGGTATTCCAGACGATGGCTGGCAGCAACCTCAGGTTTGGTTACACAAGGTTATTCGAAACTCAGGAACGATATTTCATTCCGCTAAAAAATGGCTTAGTGTTTCGGGAGTTGAATTCGAGATTGGGCACGACTTCAAAGGAGAAAAAGTTAGGAGAATAACATACTCACCAACAGAAAAAACCCAAATAGAAGTTCTGAAAGTAAATTTGCAGAAGCTTTTGGAAGAGGGTTACAGTCACGGTGATATCGCAGTACTTTTCTTAGAAAAGGATCGAATACCTCCTGTTAGAGAACTCTCTGTTGCTTTGAATAATTCACCTTGGACGTCAGCAGATCAAAACCATTCGGACAAAATAGTCATAAGCTCAGTTTTCCAATACAGTGGTCTCGAACGACCCGTTTTAGTACTTGTGGATGTGTATGAGCGTTTGCCCAGTCGCCAGCGCGAACCTTTCCTTTATGCCGCGATGACACGCGCCATGGTTAAACTCGTCATTATTTACCGCAAAAATTGATCCATTCAAAAAGCCATTGTACTAATTATGTAACTAAATAGCGCAAAGATTTCGTGGAAGGGCTTAGTTGTTCATTGCAGAAAAAAGGTCAAACAGTGTCGCGACAATCTTGTACGCGTGTCGCGTGATATTTTATTTTCTGATTTAGTAAGTAAGCTAAGGGTTTAATGACATTTGGGTTACGTAAGATTTAGGTTTACAATTGAGCGTAGCACTGTAATAGCAGATAAATATTGATTGTCGAACTAGCGCTCCGCAGAGATTCTCCCGAACGCATTGGAGAATTCTGTAACAAGTAACAGAAAGACTATATGTATGTAATATAATTTTTCTGATGTAGTTTTGTGATGATCTGAGACTAGCATTAATTACTCTTTTGCCCACGCGTATTAGAGAGAGTTGTGGTTATGGAGGAGGTTTGGGCCTAAAGTTTGTAATTTGCAGCCGTTACGATGGTGAAACAGTAGTGTAGCCTAGTTCATAATGTAGATGAGAGATGAATGCTCTACTAGGGATTAGATTTTTGAAATTTGAAAGTAGACTTACCATTAATATTACATGTTAATGGCAAAAAAAGAAATAAATGACAGATTTTCGAACGTGCTATGTGCGATTTGATTGAAAGACTAGATTTGTGTTTCAGCTAACGCGTAATCCAGGCAGTCTTCGGCATAGTTACACAGCCTTTCTAATTTTATTCACTGAAAGGCATCCAATGAGTAGATTGTTACTGACCTTTATACCACGCTCATGTCCAACACTCAATTTATTTTTGAGAGCAATGATATGTTTTTTTCGAGATTATAAACAGTCTTAATTCTCGTTTTTGCTCAATGTTCTCCGAACCATTTGTAAATGTTAGCTTAACAAGAGAGACGCATCTTTTTAAAAGCCCGAAGAGCAGAGTTGACGATCCCCTGATCATATTGCGTTGTTCTTGTTACGTTGTATGAAAAGAATTATTCTAAGTCTATCAGCCGGTGTATTAGGTGCTTAAACTACTTTTATAACATAGCGTGTAAATTTGTCTAATCTCACGCACTCATAGAAGCTAGAGTTGCTCTCGGCCCAGAATGCTATTGTCTTTCGTGACATGTACTTGCAGTGCCCATTTAATCAGCGGGCAGCATAATATTATGCAGATCCTGAACTAGTCGGTCGTGATTGGTCAGCAGATAAAGCTTTGAGAATACATGAGTCTCTTGGCAGATTGCAGCTGCTGTCAATCAAACGGTTGGATGCGTAAAGTAAATCCCAAGGTGACATAAAGTGAAAAAATAGCAATAATTAACAATAGCCACGCTCTTAACAAAGCGTTTAGCAAATTCGTTTGCAGCGAATTCGTATATAGACTGACAGACTCCCGTTGGTTAAAATGTTATTGGAATTATAAAAATTAGTATCATGAAAATGGGAAATAAAAAGATTAAGAAAATAGTATCATGAAGAATAGGCGGTTTAAAAAGCGTAACTTGCGATCAGGCGGTTTTCGAGTGCGAAAGGCTTGCGGTTGCGGACTGGCAACAAAAAAACGCCTGATTGAAGGTTATAAAAAGCGGTGCTCAGAAAGCCAGCTAATCTGTGGTAAAGTGAAATTTTAGTTTCATTCAGTCTTTGTCTTAAATGTGGTTTTGGCGTGCCTCCGTATCAAAGAGAATAAGGAGCGCGAAAAAATGGCCTAATCATAGTTTTATAGCTAGCGCAATGCGTGGGTCACTCGCTTTTACTTGACACTTGCGTTGTCATACTCCACTGAAAAATTTTGATGGCTAAACAGGCTTAGCCATCAAGAAGAAGAGTTACGCGATGAAAAAAAAGACAACAACAACAATTGCAAAAGAGACTACGGTGGAACCCCGTTAATGCGGCCACCAACGGGCCATGGAAATCTATCCGTATTGACGGGAGTAAAAGTATATCACTCACTTGTACTTCACACTCGTTCTCTTTTACTCCACCGATTAATGCAGTCCGACCAAACAGTAGAAAAAACAAGTAAACTAACCAATAGCTAAAACTCAGTATTTGCAACATGTCGAAGCGTGCGAGAAATCAGCCAGGTTACGCAACATTATTGAATGATGTCCGCCATCGTGGCTTTAATTCGAAATACCGACTGCTATGGGCGTTTACGAAGTTGAACGTATTGTATCTGGACGGTATGAAACACAATTGTGGTTCTGATGATACACTGTGTTAACAGAGATGTTTAGAACTCTTTTCAATTTAAATTTGGTGCACATGACACAGCTTCTTAACAATGCATCATTAGGCGAAAATGCGTCCTATTGTCTACAGAAGCGGGGCAAAAACTCTCTTGGAACTCTTTTGGGAGTCCGAAGGGAACAACTTTCGAGGGCTTTTTTGGACATTTCGGTGTAGCTTTCGGAGATGATCCTTTGATAACACTTGTGGCCATCGTATTAACGCGAAATTTCACCAAAGCTTAGTTGAGATATCAAACTTACTTCACTTTAAAAGTTTTGGCAAAAGTGCAACATCACTCTCAAGTGCCGAAAAAATTTTATGCCTACCCCACGCCCCTCCCATCCCTTGAAAAGAAATCTGTGCGACTTGGAAAACTCGGAAGTCCTAGGGAGAGTTTGCCATTTTTGCTTCATGCAACAGGAACAATTTTTGCAGGGCCGTAGCTAGCATGAGGCGAGACGAGGCAATTGCTTCGTCTTGATTTTGGCCCAAGATTAACTTTTCTGAAGAAAAATGCCACGGGAAATGCTTAAAAGAGCATTTCTGAGCCTCCAGATTTCAAAATTTTATGGAGGGACATGTCCCCAGACCCCCCTAGCGGCTCGCGCCTTCGGCGCTCGAAACTTGCCTCGTCTTGTTCTGAAGTCTGGCTACGGCCCTATTTTGAGGAAATATTTGATCTTATTTGTTCTAGATAAGTAAACAGCATTATGGTTAATGAAGTACAAAGGTTATGTTCGGTATTTTGGACCTGACCGTGCAAAATGTTTGATAAAATACGATTGTATCGCAAATGAACGATAGAAAACAGGATAAATTCGGAAATATTTAAATTTTACTGTATTTTCGTGAACATGAACATTGAATAGAACCTATGATGTTTCCTCTTATCTTTTCAACCGTCGTTCAAATTCAGTTGTAAAAAATAATGAGCGAAAGTGTTTCTAGGAAATCTTTTCTAAACACCATCCTCGGAGACCCAAGGGCTGTGGGTCGATTTAAAGTCAGGGCAGAAGAGCCCCCAGGGACATTGTCTTACAAGACTAGTTCCAAACGGTCGCAGTCGTTCTGGTATCTGATTGGTGCCAGAAAATCTTTGTGTTTTTCGGCCCAATCAGAGTGAAGTATGCTTTAGAGTCCTTTCGTGTGTTTTAACACGGATATGTACAAGAAGCTCAGTTGCTCGCCTTGTTTGTTTGGGCCGTGCGACGAAGCTTTGCTCGAGGTGAAAAAGTTCAGTCTCAGCACACAATGTGAGAGAAATCGATCAGATTGTCCGCGAAAATCTTACCAGAAATTATACTGAATACTTCCATAGGTATCACAGGAGAACGTATTTAAAAGTTTGCGAGGTTCGTATAAAACGTAATGGCTGCAGGCGTTGATATGTCACTTTAAACGTTAGACGAGATCTAAGCTTATTAAATCGTTCTAGATTTCTGGTATAATTTGCTGTGAGTGAAACTTTGCCAATCCCGTGAAGTTATTTCTAAGCACGAGAAAACGAGCCATCTGTAGTCTTAAACGAGAAGGGTTTATCCGGTTATAAAACTTAAAAGCAAATTAAATGACACATTTTAGACGCTTCTTTTTCTCCGGAGACTTGAATGAGAATCTTAAAAAAGCTCGACACTGAATTAACATCTTTATACATAAGGAGTTCTCGGTAGATCTTGATGAAGAAGCATCATACGTGCAAGCTCTGAACTAAGCCTTATATAAGCTTTACATTTCGCAATAAACAGCTGAGAGGCTATTTGGCTTCCTAGTTTATCTTGATGTAAATTGTTTTAATTGAAATTTAAATCCTTCTCGAATGAGAGCTCGAATGGAGAACACATTGACACCTGTTGAGGGGAGTCTGCTCCAAGTTAGAACAGGAGTCTGTTCCAAGTTAGAACATCTCACGCATCCTACAACTATTCAATATCCGCGTCGCTCACAAACCTATTACCACACTACGTCAGTTACTGACTAACATCTAAGACAGAGACGAACCGAGGAACAGACAAGGAGCAGTATATAAGATCAATTGCTCCGACTGCCACGCCTCCTACATCGGTGAGACTAGCAGAAACCTCGCAACCAGACTGACTGAATACAAACGAGCGACGAAGAAAGGCGATGTCAACAATCACATTGCTGAACATCACCGACTTACGAACCATACTATTGACTGGGACTCTGCGCAATGCCTAACCTACAGCACCAACTACTTTCAACGACTGACCCTGGAAAGCTGGTTTACTAACTTGGAACAGACTCCCCTCAACAGGTGTCAACCACTACCGGCACCATACAAACGCCTTATTCACGACGTTAACATTACAAACGAACCGAACAGAACGACCTAACTTCACTAACGGATCCAAACGGACCAATCACGACTGACCTACGCCACTTGAGTCTTACAGCCAATAACATCACGGCAAAACTGACCAATCAGTGTACACAAACCGGACTAAGTACATTCGACTGACAACAACCTTTCACTTGACTCTGATGATGACTTCCGCTCAGGTTGTCGAAACGTCAGTCACCACTACCGACAACAGTCCTTCTCAGGACTACACTCACCCGGACGATCAAACTACACTATTACATGGTAATAGTGTAGTTCACTGTCAGTCGTTATCATTTTAATTAAGATTTAAATCCTCTACAAAAGCTCGTCTCGAGATCATCGAAATCGTTTAAAAGGAAAATCTTTACACCTGTGATTCAATTTCCATCTTTCCACAAAGTACTACTTCCTAAACGTAAAAAGGAAAATCAGCGCAGCAAATCGAACC